CCCCAAAACCCCAAAACCCCATATAACCCCTTTAATGAAGTATAAACTCAATTAATTATTCTGATTATTCAAATCTCATTTTGATCAACAATATTTCCAGATTTACCAATTTCATCATTATTATTATTTAAAATATCTTGCTTTATCTCTTCAATTACATCGTCTTTATCTTTAATAATTGCATCATCTTATAAATCATTATTTTCTTTCCTCTCTTCAAGAGTTCTTTTCTTAAGCTAGATCTGTTATTCTTTATGCTCTTGATACTCTTTGTATCTCTTTTTATAGTCATTAAACATACCCTCATCTATGCATTCCAAAGACAGACTAATTAAATCGAAGATTCTTCTTTGCTCACTGACTTCAGATGATTGCTTTAATTTGATAAATGGCTTTATTGGAAGCTAGTAATAGTAGTGGCATGATAAGTATAGCCAGTAAATACTAACAATACTAATAGAAAGATCATCATAATCGCTTGAATTTATAGAGTCTATTTTACTTTGCTTTGATTGAGATTTTACAAAGTCATCCACGATATAGAGATATGTTTATTCTCTATCACCATTCATATACTCGCCAATATTCAAGCCAAACTAGTTGCAAAGATCCCCTTCGTATTATTGAAGAATTTTACTTTTAGACATTGTAGAATCGTTATAAAGGATCTCAAACAAAGCAGTAATTTTCTTGTCAAATAGATTTTTTCTTAGCTGTCTTATAATAGTCTTGACAGTTGCTTCTAATCCATTATCGATCTACTCATAGAATTGATCGTGCACCTTCTCAATGAACTTTAAGTGCAATAGAAGTGATAAATCAAAATCAAACTAGACAGAAGTTTGCTGGATTACTTTGAAGTAGGATTTAAGCCTATTCTAAGAAGTTTCCCAGTAGAAGTATCCTGGAATAAGCAGCAAATTTTAAGACACTCTTTTAAACTTTTGATTAGAATGAGGATCTTGGACTACTTCAGTCCATACATCTGATCTATCGTCTATTATTATAAAGATGCTCTCATCTCCTCCTGCAAGTGAACTTAGACTTTTGATGAAATGCTTTATATTTAATGTAGAATCCCCACCAATACCTTAAGCCTATTATTCAATTTCCTCATGAAGCTGCTATTATAATTCCTCGACTGTCATTTCACCTTAGTTTTTGTTTTAAAATCTTGACTAATCACATCTACTAATAAGCTTTTTATGCGTTAACAATTGTTCCATTTTCCTTGTCATCTCTTAACCGTAAGCCCGACTTATTTCCATCTTAAAAACATCAATTATAAGCTAACCATAAGCCCTAGTACCAGCTGTGTAGTAGAATATGTCAAACTTTTACTAATCATGAATAATCTTCAAGAACTCTGCCAGAAAAGGTCTGAGCTTGACATGAAAACCACCAAATGGCTACTTAATTTCATAAATGCATTTATACTAGTCAATCAAAGCAATGTAACCATTGTCCTTCGATTTGATTTTCAAGTCTTACTTCTAGACATCTCTTGTGTGAATCAATGTATTGTCCAAATCCAAAACTAAAACTAGTTTTCTATCTCTCATAATATGCTTCTTTTTCTCTTCAACTTAACTTTAGCCGACAGCTCTATGGACTTAAACAGTCTAATGATTGAGCAGAGCAAACTATCTATACTAAGACATTTCTTTTTATGACAAAATATGTCCACATTTAGTGCAAATTCCTTGATATAATTCAATGTGAGTCTCGCATATCAAAGTACTAGTAGTTTACTTTGCCGCTCTATCGGAAGCTACACTAGTGCCAGAAGCAGGTTTAATAATTTATTTTTTCTTTTGCTCATGATTTTCCATGAGCTCATCTAAAAAGTCCATTAAATTTTAGTCAGAAATTTAATATAATTACAATGTTATTTCAAAATTACTTATTGATAGATCTGCTTAATGGGGTTTTGGGGTTTTGGGGTTTTGGGG